ATCCCTAAATAGCCTCTCAACTCATGAAGGTGCCGTGAAACCATTTTTTTAAATATGTTATGTAGCTATCATCGTCTCTTATGATGCTTAGAATCATCACATTGAAAAGCTCATGCAGACACGAATACCTATTTAATCAGAGCAAGGCTTCAGTGCTGAGCAGTAAATAAATGCAGAGCAGTAGAGTCTGTCAGATGGGGCAAACCAGACCAGTGTCTCCTTTGGCCAGCTCTGTCCAGCCTGGGAACTGAACTGGAAAGAATATGGTGTTATCTTGTGTTTGAAGGCTGCTCCATAAAGCAAGTAGACATTGAATAAAGGTTGTGCAGGCCATGAAATCTTGTAGAAGTAGAAATCTCAGCAGTAAAATATCCAGACCAGCCAGTGTTTATGAGTGCAAAACAAATTACAGATGCAACAGACTGCAGCAGATTCAAGCATCTCAAAGGTTAATAAGGTAACCAGTATAGTATCATCCAGGCATTAAAACGGTGCGTAACATTCAGTGAGTAAATGTCGACTTCTGTGAAAACAAGTATCGAGATTTATCCAGTGCCATACAAAGGATGAAAAAACCTTTTCTCTACCGCAGGGGAACAATATATGGAAAATTTTCAAAACATTACCGTCTAAGTACTTTGAAATATTTGTATGGTCAGCATGCATTTCAAGCAGGGTTTTGTTTTCGCTTCTCTCCTTTTCTCTCCAGTACTTAAAGGCAGGGAGGGGAGAACTGTGGTAAACCTGCCTTTTTCTTCTGAGTGTTTTTCCTTCAGAAACCCTACAGCAGCACTGGTATATGCTTTTGCCAAGACATCCCTTCCACATTTCATACCCTGTTTAAAAAGCTATACAATTAGATGCTAAAGATATTATTTTAAAGTTAGTATGACTGTCAAAATCAACCCTGTAGTAGTTGACATAAGCTTAACAAACTAGGTAACCTGTTCCAGATCTCAGATGGTCGGTCTTTAAGAAAATGAACAATTAAACCTTACTGATTCATTGCACAGGTTTTTAGCTATTAATGAATCAGGATTTTGGCTTTAAGATAACTATGTTTTGAATATATGTGTGCATTAAATGCTAACTAAGTCAAGAGAAGCAAATTTGTGTGTTACTTCTTGATAGTTTCTTACATTTCAAAAAGAGAGCAACTTCGACTATTTATAAACTGTAATTAAGTTTCTTTACAACATGACTCATTCTCAACAAGCAAGTCCTTTTTCTTTTGCTTTCTTATGAACCGTGTGGGAAAATTAGGGTTCAATCACTGAAGAATTTACTCAATGCTTAATTACCCAAAACAGCCCTCCAAGTTCTGCTCATGTAGAGCTTTCATAAAGACGTGATTTTCCCCGCATTATGGCTTTCTAAAACTTGACTTTTAAAAAATGATCTGTAAATTGTAACATAGGAGGAAGGCAGTGTTCTGCTATGGTATTGGCTTCTTTCTCCAGTCTGCGTCTTTGAGCTCCTCTTATATTAACAGTGTGATCCTTAGGAAAGGCAAAGTAAGAAATCATCAAGATTAAATTACTTTAAGCATGGAACTGAATTAGAAAGCTTTACTTTCCTGAATGAGCTAATTGTTTAGATTTTCCAAAGGAAATGTTTCTATTTCTGTGAGAGAAGGGGTAAATGGGACTTCCTCTGACATAATTTTCATTTTAAATCTGAGTTTGACAGCAAGATTTTTACCTTCATAACCAAATATTACTGCTTAACTGCATGACTTGTATAAGCTTGCTAGTTGAAGTGACTCACTTACGTAGATGAAGTTATTTTTAGGGAGATAATTTGCACTGCTTAGAAGAGAGGAAAAAAGGGAGAGAGAGTCCTACTAAGAGCTGGGTCCCTCATTATAGTTTACAGAGCTCGTGAACCCAGCATCCAAGCAAAAGATGACTAAGCAAGGGGTCTATTGGTACTTTCAGGAATTTACAGACGTGAGTCATCTGCTTATTTTCTGCAGACATATCACCAGGGTACTTTGTGAGTCAGCTGTTATTTGGAAATAGTACTTGTGTTCAGCATGAATATGTTTTTGTAGTTCTTAGGTAACTAACATGCCAAACCAAAGCGTGCTTTTGTAGTTTGCCTAGTTCAGGTGTTGATTTACAAAAGCAGTGCATTGTTTTTAACTGTGATGCATTTTTCACGACAAAGTGTAAATGTTGTCTGGGGTGTAATTATGATAACGCTTACCTTTGCCACCTCACGTGTCACATGAAGGCGGATCTGATTTTGTTTAATGCACAGATTGAGAGTCAGATTGCCTATACAAGCAGGTAAAAGGAAAAATTTCTTTATCAACCTGTGTGACTATGAGCAAATTTGACCTTTTATCTTCAAAGCACCTTGCTAGCATTGGTTACCAATGGTATTTGCTTATTTTTCACGTACGATGAAATGCATCACCCCAAATCCAAGCATTACTGTGCACTCACAGTGTCAATGGACGGGCATCCACTGCGACGGAAGTGAGTTCTTGCCTTCCCTTCCTGCTGCTGAAATAATAGCTGGCCACCTTGAGATATGTATAACACTTCACAACTCCAGGCTGTTTCCTGTTTACTGGTCTTTTAGGTGTGGTTGAGTTCCAGAATTAGGGACAGGTTTTTTTACTTGGTCTGGGCTCATCTCACACCTTGTATTAAGGAAACACTTGCATTAGAAAAATGGGAGTTTGGTGATTTTAGGTGAAGGGTAGTGTTAGAAATCAAAGGCGGGTCAAATTTTTCAAAACTTTACTTGCAGTTCAGGATGATACTGCTGTTGGCCAAATTTTAAATCTGAATTGATTATCTGATTTGACAGTGTATAATGTAAGTAATTCCTGAACATTCCTATACAGGTTTTGGTTAATAAAAGGAGAAAATGTTTTCTGTCATATTTGCAAACTCTCTGTTTTAGGTAACAAGAAGAAAACTGGTGCTGCTTGCAACCCCTTATGTAGACAGAGGTTTTCAAAGGAAAGATAATGAAAAACAGAAATTCTCAAGTACAAAGTTAAATATAAGGACTGAACTATTAGTCAAGTGTTTTGCTAAAGTTTGTTATTCCTTTCACACAGTGATAAAATACACAAGTATACAGGGTAGTTTTCCTTTAAGGAGTTTGTACTTAAGAAGGAAAAAGATGCACTAGACGAGCAGAGTTTAAGCACTCAGAGCTGAAGAAGTATATTTATAATGTTAAAACAGAGAACCTTGCTCCGTGCTTTCCACGGTGAAGTCCTTCAGAGGCTGCGGCACACACATACCGTTTGCAAGGCGAGCGGACAGCTTGCTTGCTGATAAATGGCCTCGATATGCCAATGTTTTTCAGGGTTGTTATTTAATAATCATGTTATAAAGAGGAATTTGAAAGAGCAATCTTTGAGTCTAACCTTTGTTACAGCGGTGATCTGTCCTCAAATTAGCAGGGCTCTGCCCATGTCATTACCGCTTAAATATCTGCTGGAAGCTGCTGTGTGAGCTGAGTCACCAGGACTCCAGGAGTTATCACGTGTAGCTCAGACACTGGGTCATGAACTGAGCAAATGCTGTCGTCCACAGTGATTAGTTGTATTTAGAGACTACAGCTGGAATATCACATTCAGTTTTGTGTACTTCATGACTACAAACAGTTTTACTCTTAGAGCTTGGAGGGTAAAGGGAGCTATGGTTTGGCTGATGCACATCCAGGTATTCGGACATGATTATAAAAAAATGAAAAATGAAAGGACTAGCAGGATGATAGCTTGGGATTTAGAGAAATAAAACCCGTCTTACAGTGATATTTCAGTGTTTCAGCAGATGCTTCAAAGGAAGTGCTGAAATCTCTGCTCCATGAAGTATTTAAAAGTAGAAAGCGTAGTGCATTACCAAGCATAGTGCAGGGGAGATCCTGTTCCGCCTGAGGATGGGTTCAGTCCTGTAATGTTCCTTTCACTCTCTTCAAATTCTCTTTGTAGTGATTTTGCCACCTGCTTTGGTTCCTACTTTAGTTATTACCACCTTTTTATTAACTTAGGAGTCTTTCTTAAAATTTGTGAAGTGACAAATAGAGAATACTGAGAACCCAGGCTTGTATGAATGAATTATAATCTTATTAATTTATTTCACTCATTGCTACACCAATAGGAAAAAAATTTAATTATTCATTAATAATTCGAGTAAATAACTCATCTATTGTCATAACTCAGTTGAAGTACAGATTTCTGAAGCCTCCTGAAATCAAAAGTAGACCAAGAAAATCTAAACTATAAATCTAGCAATGAAAAAATTAAGTTAAAAACCACAATATTATTAACTGTTGTAGACTGTTTTCTTGTTCTGCCAGACCCGGCTGATCATGAGACAGTGATAAGCAAAGGGAACTAAGAAGTTCTGATTTTTATTTTTAGTGAGATATTTTGGGTATTAATGACTTCGCAGTGTGTTTTTGGTTTTGTGGGGATTTTTTTTTGCCTAACAGATGACGGTAAGTTGAGATCGTTTCCAACTCATGTGACTAAATCTTTTTACATGCTTTATCAAGTCATTTAACTGCTTTAAATCTCAGACAGCTGTAAAATGAGAATGATAATACTTTTGATGTCCATGGGGGCACTAAAATGAATTAGCGAAAGCAAATAAAGAGAAATTTGTTTATTGAATGAAAACCATAAACAGAATGTGTTTTGTGAATTTTTGAAAGGGAAATTTCCACTATAAAGGAAACCACCGCATTATTTTTTCTATAACAATATAATCATGGTGTAAACGTTATGATTAACAGAGAAATGCACTAGTTAAACATTTCTAATTATGTACTTTACAAAAATGCTTTGATAAAGCAATATGTTGGAATCATTACTTGTAAGAAATACAGAAGTGTATTTTCGAAGTGATCATCAGTTTCTCCTTTTCTGTCACATTTAAAGGATTTCTATATTCCCAGTAAAAAAAGGGGGGGGAAAATGCAATGGTGTATTTTTCTGACTTTTTTTCTGTTTCTTTTCTTTATTATTTCAGTTGACCTACCCCTCTACTTTCCTCGAGACCAACCAACCCTAACGTTTCAATCCGTCTACCACTTCACTAACAGTGGCCAGCTGTACTCCCAGGCCCAGAAGAATTACCCGTACAGCCCCCGCTGGGATGGCAATGAGATGGCCAAGAGAGCAAAGTAAGTCAGATTGCTGTTTCCTACTAAATATTCCATTTGTTACATGGTCATCTGTCGGTAGAAATTTCATGGAATTAACTGTACGTTCTCAGCATTATAAAAGCTGAACCTGTTTTTGTTCTCATATAGTCCTGGCATTCCCGTATATGAGTATAGACAGATACTTTATTAATCATGCTTATTACTTAAGTGCCAGAGGACTGATCAAAAGAAGACTCTTCCTGCTAGGCGTTGTACAGGCACAGAGTGGTGACAATCTCTGCTCCAGAGAGCTTCCAGTCTAAGTAGACAAGATAGCCCCCAGCAGGAGTAATCTGCATGGTAACAGTCAGTCAAGGTAACTCCATGGTTTTGTGTTGGCGTCGGCGGGACCCTGGAGGGAAGCATGTGAAATGGAGAGAGCAAGGAAGAAAAACCTGAAAGATATGGAATAAGGCTCGAATAAAAAGACACGGAAGAACAGGGAGAGGTAGAGCAAACCACCAATCTAGCATAGGAGGCAGTCCTATCAGAACTTGAGAAAGCTATCTGAAAGCCTGAATGTATCTTTTTTTCTTTTCTTTTCTTTTCTTTTTTTTTTTAACTGCTTTGCCTGTTGGCTACAAATAGAGAATCTCGAACTGTTTCCTCCACAGTTTTCCTGGAAGCCCTCATTTCAGGCTGGGGAGAGACCACTTCAGTCCGAGTATCCCCTTTAGTTAGGGATGACAGGACAGCCTCCCCAGAGTGGTTCAGTTGCGAAGGCAAGCTGCCAAGGGCAGTGGTGCCCCTTTTGTACACTAGATGTTATCCCTGTCTTCTGATGAAGCAAAACAGATTTTACATGAACGGAGCAATATGGGCAACGGCCTTGCTGCAGTATTTCAGTTTTGCAGAGTGTAAAAGCATTAGAGCAGCAACAGATTTAAGCAAGCTGATTATCAGTTGTTCAGCACGTAAAGGCATCAAACTGCATAAATAATAAGGCATATTGGAATGAATGTTTTGAATGACAATCAGAAGATTAAATTAATTTAGCAAAGATGCGTAAATAAGAATCAAATGAAAATAGTTCAAGCTGAGTAAATCAAATGAATGGCATGGTCAGAGACTGATTGTAATTTGGAAATGATGGAACCAAACAATTGACTTGAAGCATTTGCAGATTTTATAATAATTTAAATTTTATGGAGAATATCAAGTAGCATTTGATTTTGATGCATTGTAGTAGAGATTTTTTTGCTTGTATTTGGTTTTACTATTGTACTGTCTAGAAGAGCTGTTTCTTGATCAAATATGATTAATTTTTTTGTGGACTTGTTTCTTTTCTCTAGCAGAATATTATGAGGTTTTTTGTTAAAAAAAAAAAAAGAAACAATAACTGGAAGCATTACTGTGGCTTTTTTTATGACTGTACTACAAAGTGCATTTCTTTTGCAGCTGGAAGCTTACAAGTACCTGTGCGCTGTCTGCTAAGTGCATTCATTTATGAGTGGGTGTTTACAAATGGACTTCCCTGCCCTGCACTTGAAATTTAGAAGCATTATAACAGTTCTTTTAAAAAGCGCTAAATGTGTACGCTTACTATCACCTGTACATTTTGTGAGGTTATTCATTCTTACGATTGAGCCTTTGCATTTAAGTTTTACACTGGATATGTAATATGAGAAAGATGACGAGAAGCAGGGTAAGAAAGTGTGTTGCGATGTCTGAAATAACTATCACTGAGCTGCAAAGACACAGAGAAGCTGCTCTAGTTAAAAGCGCTTTGCTTGCAGGAACAACTAGTGATTTCTGAGTACGTACCATAAATAAATCTGCATCAAGAAAATTATGATGCTGTGATACATGTTAGCATATTTTAAGAAAGATTTTTAACTCAATTGAGCGACTTACGTAAACAGTGTTTAAAATATTTGCTAGGGCTTCTTACAATAGGTTAGTGTGTTTCAACACAACCAAATAATTTTTCATTCTACTTTATTTTTACTGTAGCCGTGTTATGGACCAAGTATAGAGGAATCTATGTAGATAAATAGGAAAGCATCATAATTAAATACGTTAGTTCAAGTGCCACGTCAAAACATCCCAAATAAAAACAGAAAAGAAAGCTACATTATTTATCATTTAGAAACAATGTAATTCTGCTCGGCTGAAGTAAATGTAGCCTGGATAAATCGAAGACAACTTGTTTGTGTTTCTAAATACCGTCTACTAGGTTTTGCTTATATGTAGTCTTTTTCCCTCTTAGCCAAATGGTCTCCCAAGTGCTTGGCATCCTTTGAGACAAAACAGCTCTGTTTATCTTTCTGGCCCTACTGTTCTAAGGCCACAGGATCTCCCACTTGACGTTCTGGTATCTGACCAAACTCTCCACCTGTGTTCTCAGACACTTGAGGGATCAGTTTACACCATCTTCCTCACTGTAGCTTAAGTCACCAGCGAGGATGGCTTTTGCACCAACTGGGTTCGTTAGCCGTCCAGTTATGTACTGAAGCATGTATAACGCCTTGCTTTATGCTACATAGAAGCACTACTAAGTTTGAAATACCATCACTCAGAGATTTCCTCATCCTCAGTTTTGGCAAGCCCTGCCTCTGTTTTCAGCAGCTCAACACAGCCTGCTTATTCATGGGCAGAGCTGTCATAAGTTCATGCCAAAGGGACTTTGATTCTGTGCCCAGCCTTCTCCCAGGGCTGGGTTTTTGTTTGTGTTTTTCTTTTTTTCCTTCAAGCAGGTAAGCCCATCCAATTCCTTCAACTCAGGGGCTAAACTTGAAAGTCTTGGTATCCTTGCTTATCTTTGTGGCCCCCGAGCAGAGGCAGGCATCTCTTTTGAAGTTAGGACTTAACCCTTTGCTGTAGCCTTGAGACAATCGGTAGTAATTATAAGTAGGAGGAAAATTGCTCCCCTAAAATACATACATATAGAAGTAGATTGTATGCGTTCACACTTAGACACGTATCACCTAAATCTAAAAGGCAAATTCTCAAATCAGAGTATCAGTTTAGCAGGATCTCGTTCATTCTCACAGAATAACTGCTCGTGTTCTCACTGAAGTAGTTGGACCGATTTATGCCTGTCTGATGAAGTCCACAAAATCGTTCTATGTGCCCTTTTAAGCACTTTTTAAAATCACCTGGCTCCTTTGGAGCCCACTGACTTAGGTTCTTCACTGAGAGACAGCATCTGGTAACTGAAGCTTGCAATTGTCTTAGCCCAGGGATTGCCCTCTGGCTTGATTTAATTCTAAGGGATGAATCAAGTTCTGGTTAAATAATGTGATTTCAAATGCCTCCAGTTTGCTTGTTTCTCAGCTAAACGCAAAATTTTAACCTGTTCCTGCAGCTAGCAAGAGGGAAACCAAAAATATTAAAATTCTCTTACAAGCTGCCGAGATGCCATTTCCTCTCAGTTCACATCTCAGGCTTTGCCTCTCTTAGGTCATTTATTTATATATCTGTGGCCTCCTGCGTAAGCAGCTTCTCCAAAAGATTTGGTCCTAAAATACAATAGCAAGCCTAAGAAAATACAGTAAATTATGGAAAGTTAGCAGCCTTGTTTGTGGTGTACGTGTGAAGTAAAACATCTCTGTGCTGTTTCCATGGGAAAGCTCTCTTGTTTTTTGCTTAAATAGGCATTCAAGTGTACATAAATGGAGTCTTTAAAGAACATGCAGACTCTAAGCCTGGGATTTTATGAAGGAATACTGTAAATAAAGCTTGTTTGTTTACACAAATTAAGTTCAGTTCTTAGATGCACTCTGGCCCAATTTCTGTCCGACCCAGCACTGCTGTGTAGACTTAGGTTACACTTCAGGGAGAGCAAGTCAGGACTCAGTTTACTCTTTTATCCTACATAAATCCACCTACTCGTCATTAAAAATAGCAGGAGGATGGAAAACTGGTATCACAATAAAAAGTTGTTCCGAGGCTTCACGTTCTTTTTTCAAGGTGGCTGATAAAACTGGTTTCTGAATAACATTGTTGTCCCTGACCGTTCACCGGTGTTTGCTGAATGTGGTGTTAATTTTACATATCCCTCAGGGCTCTGTAAGGGTGAAAGCTTAAAAGGGCTCAAGTGCGCTCAACTGTATATTGGCTGTTGCGCTGCCATCGGGTCAAGTGCAGCTTAAGATTATATGCAGAAGCATCTTGTGCGAGCTACATATGCATGGCCAGCGTGGCTGCAGCTACGGCTCGTGCTCAGCGCAAGCGGGCTGGGATTAGAAAGTGTCAGGCTGGTGCACTGGGCCGTAGCATTGTCAGCCTCATCGATACCTTTTCCTTGAATATCGTTGAATTAGAAGGTGTTTATCGTGTGAAGATGCTAGTTGCTATTTGGCTGAAACGGTTGCTTTAAGCTTTAATGTTCCCCGGTAAGGAGGGGAAGTGCATCTTTTGGTCTAATGAAAGGATATTTGAAGAAAAAAGGGAACAATGTTTGTGTTGCTGTTTAGACAAACTCAGTTGTAGTATGTCAAAGACTTGCTGCTGTATTCAGTACATTTTGTGCCCTGGTGATTATTTTTTTTTATTTTGACATTAACCAGTTTTTCAACTAATTCATTTTTTATTATTGTCAGAATTCTTTCACATTTTAGGCAGAATATCTACAACTACATTTTGGATTCTTTTAAAATAACAGGTTTCTCTGTTTCCCCGAAACTTTTGTTCTCCACCTATGCTACTTTGAATCTCACTATAAAGTTTACACGTAAACATTGCACCTTTTTTATAATCTTCCCTCCTTGATAGGTGTAATTAAGGTAATAATTCATTTGTTATTATTTGGTTTGTATTTTAGTATTTTTCCTGCTTCTTTGTAGGAGTAGAAAATTGTATTTTCATGTATTATATGATTTTCATGTGCATTAGGCAACTTTAAAGAGTAGATTTCCAAAAACTAACTTGTTTGCATTTACATGTATTCTCCTCACAAAGCTTTTGCGTGGCAGTCTTTGGCTCTGTTGCACATTACCTTAAACTTAAAAAGAAATTTTGAAATTTTTAAAGAGAGT